TTACAAAATTTGTTACCGTTTGGGTTGTGTCAGAAATAGTTATTTAGATATTTTGCCCTTAAATCATTATACACTGGACATACAACATAAAAAATTATATTCATCTTCAATACAATCAGTTTTACAAATCCTACAAAGTCCATGTTCTCTTGCAATACCTACATATCTGCCTGTTTCAATAAATAGATCACAGATCTCTCAAAGTAGAATCTAGTACATTCCAGGTGGAGACTGTAGACGGTAAAAATGATTTTTTAAATAATTCATTTCGGCATATAGGCTCATAGTTTTCTTAAGTGTTACGTGTTGCATAATGTGGACAATCCAAAGTTTTTACAGGTACCATAACACATTAATAATTTGGCATTGTCCCACTTTTCATATGATAAAATGTGCATAATTTGTGAAAGTGACATCTTTTAGCCAAGGGGGATAGACAGGTTTCGTTATATAATTTTATATGACTTGTGCCCCTCACGGCACCACATATTGTCATGAGTGCATCTAGATGTAACATTTCTAGGGACAATTCTTGACCCTTGGTGCAGTTATTCCATATATGGTCACAGTAATCAAACAAGGGTAATATGAATGAACAATAGAGCGTATGTAACATTGTAGACTGTGTCTGTCCAAACAATATTTCAGACTACGAAAGCAATTTATCAATGGGCTAACTTTAGCAGTTAGAGTTTTCAATATGGCTATGCCAATGCCCATCACTTTGTAGAGTTAGCCCAAGGTGTTTGTGGCTATTAACATTTTTTATTATGCATGAACAGATCAGGCAGGACAGTGACTTTACTTTTTCTTGAAAATTGAATTGCTTCTGTTTTATCGGGATTATATTTTACTTCCCAAGTTTTAGCCCATTGAGAAATACGTTCGAAATCAGGATTGATTGAAATACTTGTTTACATTGTATCATCAACAATGACATGTAGCAATGTATCATCAGCAAACAATTTTACATTACATTGAATATTACAGACAATATCATTGATGAATACTATAAATAATAAGGGTCCTAACACTGAACCTTGAGGAACACCGGCAAGAACAGGTTTAACATTCGATTTGTGTCCATTAATAACTGTATATTGCTTTCTAACAGTTAAGTAACTTTGGAACCATTTTAAGAGAGTCCCTTTTATCCCATACTGGCTTAATTTATGTTACAAACCTTTGTGCCAAACACGATCGAAAGCTTTACTAATGTCACAGAATATTGCCATATCTTCCTTTCAATCATCTAGGGCATTACCTGTGAAATCATAAAGAATGGTTAGTTGGTAAGCAATTGAGTCAGCGGGGGTAAACCCAGATTGCAAACTAGAAATAACTTTATTTTCTAAGAAATGATTGTGCACATGTTTTAGGACACACTTTTCAAATACTTTCGATGGCAAACGTGTGAGCACGATCAGTCTGTAATTACAACAAGAATGGATGTCATTTTTCTTATGGTATTAGGATTCCATGGCATAGAAAAGATATGTTGGGACAGAGATAAATTGAATAACAATAAAAGTAGTTTTGATAAAACAATAGCCAAGGTCTTTAATATACAATTACTTATCATATCAGGGCCAGTAGATTTCGATACGTCAAGTGACAGTAATGCATTGAAAAATGGCGGTCAATCAAGATTCAATATACGACTAGCTACCGAAAACAATAAAATCTGCAAATCCTCATTGTATGTCAACCAAGTGAAAGTCGTTAGCCACGACTTACAAAATGATCGTCCAGACTTTGAGGGTTTGGCAGATCCGCTCGACTGATCTGCATCGGTCGACTGGCTGTCATCACGCTTTCGCTTCTTGTCTGAGGTTACGTATCGTAGCATTGTGAGGATAATGAGGTACATCGATGATGCAAGGTATTTATGTACAGTTGTAAACACCTTTCACTCAAATTAACAAGATGTTCTCAGTAATTAATCCTCGATTAATCAGTGTCAACTCAGTTTATTGCCTATTACAGTGATTGACCGATTGGACTATTATGTAGGTACGATGTATTTACAGCAATCAAAACAAACAAAGCTTGTCAGTGTAGTTAATCTTCATTGTGTTGCAACTGCAGACAGAAACTGCTCAGTCATAACTGTTGACCATGTCCGGTCAAAATTTAAGAATGTCCGGACAATACTTTTTAAAATGTCCAGTAAGCAATATTTTAAACCGGACATTTGAGATTCCAGATTCGGATATGTCCGGCGCATATGACGGTTTCCGGACCCCTGATGCATTCTCTACTTCTTTCTCAGATAAACATATTTGCTCTTGGGGATAAACATTAACAGAAAATGTGTTATCATCAATGATGTCATCTAAGTCTGGAACTGAGGCTTGATCTACGAAATAATCATTGAGAACATTTTATCAATATCGTCCTCATGTAGCATGGGGGGAAACTAGTGACTACGTTTTCTTGATGTTTGAAGATAGTTTTTAACTAGTCGCCACCACGTGCTCTTACCTTGTGTAGTATTTACAATATCGTCAATTTTGGAATTAAATTTGCACATTTGAATTTCAGAGATTAATAAATTACGCATATTTCTGAACTGCTCCCAGTGAGCTGCTACATTTGTGCATTTTGCCTACTTGTGAATCCTCTTCCGCTTCCTCATCAATTTTCAAACATGTCCGTTCATCCAGGGTGCATCTGTTGGGCAAATTTGTACTCTCTGTTTTGGTATACACTGTTAATATATTGTCTTAACTGTATCAGTAATATTATCGGTAATAGCATTTATATCATCATAAGCAAACAAGGATTCCCAATCTATATTATTGCTAAATTCTATGAGTTGTTGTGTATTAATGCCATTGTAATCATAGATAGTCCTGGCAGTTCTAAGTCAGTCTGGCGCAGTAAGTGTTAAGTATCCCTTACATATACTGCAACTCCACCTCCTCTAGTGGGGCGGTCCTTGCGTAAAGGCAGATGATAACCAGGTAGTGATGTGTCCTTGTCCCTAATGCCACTAAGCAACCCGGTTTCGGAAACACATACAATATCATAGTCGTGAAGTTCAGCATTGATTAAATCGATTTTACCTTGTAAACTACAGACATTGATATGAACAATATTTAAGTCTGAATACTCAGGTCCTGGATAAGGATTTATATCTCCACAACATAATAATAATAGTAGTAACGCCAACTGGATACCTCTGATGCCAAAAGTACAACATAACAAAATGAGAATATAAGTATTGCCATCCAATGCACATTTAGTATTACTGAGTACCTTCAGATGAAATGCCCCAATTCTTTGATGATATTGTGCGATATCAACTCCCATGAGAGATTATGTCATAGAGATTATGTTTGTCTGAAAAAAGGACTGGGGGCGAGGTGGCAATGATAACGACAATATTCTGCTAAAATAACTAAGGCCTGATTATCTGGTATAACTTAAATACACCAACTTGGCATGTTTCAAAGGGGTGGGGGACCCAGTAGGAATAAGTTCATAAATTAATAAGTTAATAAGTATTTGCCTATGAACCATTTTAAAGAGGAAGTAAAAAAAACAAAAAAACACTGGTGGGTGGTAATGGGGTATGACTGAAATACGTTAACTTGCAAGTTACAAAGGGGGGGGGGGGTGTAATCCAGTAGGAATGAGTTCTTAAGTTAATAAGTATTTGTCTATAAACCATTTTAGAGGGGAAGTAAGAAAGAAAAAAAACACTAGTGGGTGGTAATGGGGTACATGTATAACTTAAATACACCAACTTGGCCTAAGAACAGAAAACTAAACAAACGAAAGACAACAACAAACGATTATCGTCACATTATTATCGTGACTATACATAACACTGCAAGTCACGAGGTCCATTTCAAGGGTACATGAAAATATACAATCAACTTCCTGCATCAAAGTTGTATGAAAGGTGGTTCGGCGAAGGTGAAAAGTTCTTTACATTTGTGACTACATATAACAGCAGCCATATCACCTTACGGCGAGGTGAATGTTTTCAGTCCCTGTCTCCACACGTGGAACATGGGATCAGTGTGACCCACTCACTCACGTAACACTGATGACGAAACACCAGCTCACAGGCTCACATGATATGTAGTTTACAATAACAACGAGCGAGAGTGTGTTGTGATATGGTCACATGACTCCTTGTCACTTGAATGTTATTGTGTTGTTTCTTTTGTTGATAATGAGCCATAAGGGTTTCATCTCGATTAGGCAATGAATTGTCTTTAGAGTAGCCTTCCTTACTTTAAACATAGAAACATTTGGTCGAATTATGTTTTTTCATTTTCCAGCGAGACACAGGTTGTATTAACAAGTTAACAACTAACAACATATTTGAGAAGTTTAATTACTAGAAAAACAGTTTTGACATGTTATCAACAATTGTTTAAAAAAAAAGAAATACATGCACTTTCTGTTCAGGGACCCATATGTCCCACAGACCCATTTGTCCCTTAGACTTTTCCAAATAACATTAATAGCTAAACAACAGAATGACACTGGGGAACAGTTTATGAGTTTGATTTAACTTCTTCAAAGTAGTCAATGTTGTTACTAAGGAATATGTTAGCTTTATTTTATCACTTGTACTGAGGTAAATATTAACCAAAAGCAAGTGAAACTATATTACAAGTTATTTATAAGTTCATAAGTACCAGGGTATTCTTAAGTAATTAGAAATAACTTATTTTTTAAGTAATTGCAAGGAATCCATAAGTAATTATAAGTACTAAGTTAGGATTGTTGAACTAGTAAGTAATTATTTTATGTGATATCTAGGCAAATTTGATAGACATATTAACTGTATCACCTGAAGGATTACTTTTCCATGAGGTCCAATTTCATGCAAGCAATTTGTACGATATGCTGAACTATTGCATGCTACTAGTGTTTCAAAATATAGTATTTGTAAAAGCTGCAATTTCTTTTCTCAATATTGTCAGCAACACAATTCTAGGCTCTGCGTATAATTTCACACACTGCATACACTGTTGTAGGAGAACAAGATTCTGAAAGACTCCAATGAAGACTTAAATGCTCAGCTGCTAACTCGATGTATGGAGGAGGGCAGGTCATTGCTGCGAGACACAAGTGGAACAACCCTTGCGGAGGAACTAGAGCACCTGACTAAAGAAGAGGTAATGTGTTTTTAGTAATATACCCGACATTCGCACCCATGTTTCATTCTAAGCCCAGGAATTTTCCAGATGCTTTTAGCTCTGAAACCTCTGTATTTCATAAGACCTTCTTTCAAGATAACCTGTCCATATTTGATTGACTCTCAGATTTCTTCTATTTTGGCACTCTGTGGCATGATATCTCCTTGTTCTTTTGATTAGAATATTGCGGATGAAGATTTTAGAAAGCAGGTAAGAGATTGCTACTAATCTCACATATACTCTTAACCCAAGGGTATATACACTACAACTGTTCCGAGGCCCTTCACAAATACCCAAGACTAAACATAACTCTCAATCATTACAAACAGACTGACCTGTTCTAGCCCATGTTAATCCAGTTGTATTAGAGCCATTCAGAGCTCATGCTGAATGAATTCTTTTTAAAAAACATAAACTTTAAAACCATGATCTCATTTCATCAACTTGAAATAAGATAATAATACATTTTTGTAAAAGCAACTCTATGTAAATGAGGATGCTTTAAAACTCTGAATTTGACCGCTGCCATCACATTTTGTTTTTGAAACCATGCTGTGCTTGGATATCATAACATGAAGATTATCATGATCCTGCTATGATAGTATGCAGTGTACTTTATCTTTGATACCCATAACAGAGTGGAAACATCCGCACAAACACAACTTGGACCTGTCTGCGATTCAGAGTTAGCTGCACTAAATTCCTTCTTGCTTTGGTCACCATTTTGTGTTGGTTGTACATATTGTCCATCTGAGATATCCTTGACACAAATGATAACTATATGTTTTTTTGCTGTTTGAATATGATGTCATCTAAATTATTATTAAACAAATGGTACCTTTTGTAGAGTCACGATGGTCCAGATTTAACTTCGTCACATCAAAAACAAACAAGTACCGCATTCAAGCTGTTTTTACTTCCGCCCCACATGGCGTACAGACCTTCTGCGCATGCCCGCAGCCAATAATAAACTGGGTACACATCCGTTGTTAGAATACGGAGGATACCGACAATAACCAGAGGCGGTGTTAACATAGCTAGTACTGTATACACTACCTCCCTTCCTTCTTATAAAAAAACTTTAATTATTTATTAGCTATCAACTAAAGCCTTAGTACTCTCATACCGTATAATTTCAAACTTCCCATGACTGATGTCATTTATCAATAATAATATTAATAATAATAATAATAATAATATTAATAATAATAATAATAAGACAACTAAATCTGTATACTTCAATGACACTCATTACTGTGCCATTGAAATACTAATTTGAATCTCATGAGAAGATTTCTCATTATTGATAAACTCAAAACACCTCACAGTCCACACTACCAGTCAAGTAAATGAAATATTCTTGTATTCAGAACTAAACTGTCACTTGGAGTTCACATAAATCACAATGTTCCTATGAGTCACTGGTCATCAACATGATCATACAGATCAAGTAAAGTCCACAAAGTTCACACTCGGTTTCTCCAATGGAAGAAATACACATCTCAAATATTAGCAAATTTACAGTCAATGAAACCAAGCACATAATCTTTGTACTTGACTGGCTCATGTCTGCTCCTCACAGGCCTCATCGCAACATCACCATGCTCAAGTGATGTCTGATCACCCGACACAGGTATCATAGTTGTAGTAGACGCATCTAGCGCCCCCTGACACTGAGAATCACGCGTCAAGTCTGTCACAGGGGGTGACAGACTCGCATCACTGCCAGACACACTATTAGGCTTGCCAAAATACTTTTTGACATGAGACACATTCCTTCTGTATTGCACCCTGTCAGATTCAAGTGCAACAGAATTGCCAAATTTACTCAACACATTAAAGGGCGTAGATCGATATGAAGTGGAGAACTTATTTTCCCTCTGCTGCTGAAGAAGAACTTTATCACCAACTTCAATATCTGTGTCTCTAGCATGTCGCCTCTGGTCACCATAAACCTTCCCTTTCTCCTTCTGTTCAGAATCATGGTCTCTAACAACTGTATCATCCACCTAAAAATCATGTAGCTCTGGCAACTTCATCCTAATTGCCTGACCAAACAATAACTCTGCAGGAGTTTGTCCTGTCGTAGCATGAGGAGTGCTACAATACATGATCAGGAAGTGGTTCAACTTGGGTTTCCAGTTCTTATCCTCAGCTTGAACAATCTGAAGTCTCTTGAGAATGGACCGGTTCTGCCGACCTCACCATTAGCCTGTGGCCAGTAGGGCGTCGATGTATTGTGTATGATTCCCTGCTGAGTAAAATAATCTCGGAATGCTTGACTGACAAATTGAGGACCATTATCTGTCTTCAAGGTTAGAGGTAATCCATGAGTAAGGAAGATCTGAGACAAACATCCAATGATTGCGTCTGCAGTGGTGTTCTTCAAAACATCAATTTCAAAGAATCTGCTGTAATAGTCAATAACGACAAACACATAGTCGCCAGATGGAAGCGGACCCATGAGATCAGCAGCAAGGTGTTGCCATGGCGACGTTGGTAATGGAGTTCTATACATAGGCGTAAGAGGAGTAGACTGTGATACTAACTGACACCCATGACAAGTTTTGCAATATTTCTCCACATCTCCATCAATACCAGGCCACCACAAATTGGTTCGTAGTCTCTGCTTCATACGGACCATACCAGGATGTCCTTCATGTGCCAACCGAAGAACACTGTCATGAAGACTACAAGGAATCACAAGTCTTGTCCCTCGTAACACTACTTTACCTATAGCCGAGAGTTTGTTTCGAACAGGGAAGTATTTCACATGAGGTAGAGTATGCCACTTGCCAGACAGTAAACAACTCCTAATGTCACCCATCTCTGTGTCGGTGTCGGAAGCCATCTCTACCTCCCTAGTCGTCAGAGCCATAGGAGTAGACTCAACAGCTACAAATCTAATATACTGTTCAGCATCTGGAGATCCACATGTCATGTCAGCATCTGGAGATCCACATGTCATGTCATTTGACAAGTCCTTGTCTTCACACAACAACCTCGACAAACAATCAGCAATATTGTTACTTCCCTTGATATACTTCACAGTATAGTCATAAGGTTGCATTCTCAAAACCCAACGTTCAATCCTCGCGGAGGGCTTCGAACGAGGCGAGTAAAAGAACTCCAGAGGTTTGTGATCAGTATGTAGTTCAAACTGTGAACCATAGAGATAAGCATGGAAACGCTCACAAGCCCAAACCAAAGCAAGAGCTTCCTTCTCCGTCTGAGAGTACCGTTTTTCTATATCTGTTAAACTCTTACTGGCATAACAAATCACCCTGTGCACACCTGATTGCTCCTGTACCAATACAGCACCAAGGCCAACAGGACTCGCGTCCACGATAACCTGTGGAACAGCATTCTTGTCAAAGTATGCAAGTACATCCTCACTAGCCATACACTGTTTCAATTTTTCAAAAGCTTGTTGCTGTTCAGTGCCCCACACAAAAGGTACTGACTTCCAAGTCAACCGACGTAATGGTTCTGTCAGTGTCGCCAAGTTCTCGATGAATCCCCCATTGAAGTTAACAAGACCAAGGAAACTCCTCACTTCTCTGGCATCACCTGGTTCTCTAGTATCTAACACAGCCTTCACCTTAGCCTCTGCTGGACTCAATCCCTTTACTGACAACACATGACCTAGAAACTCTAGTTTCTCCATTTGGAACTGACACTTGTCTGGATTCGGAGTTAGACCTTTCTCTCTTATGACAGTCAAGACTTTGGCCATTCCTCAGTGATGAGGAGCATGAGTTCCATGAACAATAACATCATCCATGATATTATGAACACCTTCACACTCGTGAAGTATCTGCTGAAGAATCTTTTGGTACATTTCCGGAGCACAACAAATACCAAACATAAGTCTCTTGTATCTGTAAAGGCCCTTGTGTGTACTGAAAGTAGTAATATGTCGTGATTTGGGGGAAAGTTCAATCTGATGATAAGCCCACTTCACGTCCAACTTACTGAACACAGTACTGTGATTAAGGTTTTGTAAGACATCATCAATGGTGGGAATCGGATGCCGTTCGCGGCGAACTGCCCTATTAGCCATTCTCATGTCCACGCATACACAAATGTCTATGCCTCCTGGTTTAGGTACTGTAACTAACGGTGATACCCAATCGCTAGGACCATGGACCTTCTCAATGATATCAAGTTGTTCCAATTCATCTAACTTTTTACTAAGTCTGTCTCTCAAGTGATATGAAACATTCCGTAAAGGCTGTATCACAGGTTCAACCATGTGATCAATAGGTATCTTTAACTGATAGTCTTTCAACTTCCCCAAACCCTGGAAACAATCTGGAAAGTCTTTCACAAAGTTCCGAGGCTGGGAAACAACACTATTCACATTTGGCCCAAGAGCCAAAATTCCCATTTGCAATGATACCTCACGACTCAAAAGTGGAGGCCCATCTCTATCCATAACCACAAACTCATCTCCAACTGAAATATTTCTTGCAAAATACTACACCTCTATCACATCATTGCCATAAATTCCTGTTTATGCTGAGAACCACACTATAAATTTTTATAAATTTTCAACAGACGTCCACTGCACTGCCAACATATCCATAGTTGTGAGGAAAACCCTATCACTTGCCATGGACGCTACCGCGCATGCGCAAGGCGGGAATCTAGTCACTTCTTTTCCTGTATGTCCTGATGACAACAAGGAAAAATATTTTGGTTGCACATCAGTACACGTGATTGAGTTCCACACTACATAGCACATTGATCTTCAAGAATCACAGTCTGCAAGCAGTGAACACACATGATTGAGTTCCACACTACATAGCACATTGATCTTCAAGAATCACAGTCTGCAAGCAGTGAACAGTTCTACTAGAACGGGGGTATAAGAAGATCGGACGATCTCGTAAGTAATAAGTTTATGGGAAGTGTTGTGGGATGAGATCCTCATCTCAAAAACAGATACCCGTCTGTTCGGGCTGTGGCCAACACCAAGTCCCTGATGACCCTCACCCCAAATGTCTTGCTTGCAAGAAAAGCAGCTGCACACAGAAGTCTAGATGCACCTACTGCGAGCCTCTATCAAAAGAAAAATTTGATAAGCTTTCCAATTGCTAGGCATGGGCCAATAATCCGGACTATAAAAAGTGTACTAGAGCTTCTATTTCTATTAAGAGGAAAGTGATTAAACCATCGAAAGTTTTTAATCACATGGGTGACAAGAG